TTGGCTTGGGCTTGTTGTGAGAACGGCTGATGGTCGGATTCCAAAAGATCTCCTGTATGGAGAATTAGTGCAGGGAAATCGCTCCGGAAGGAGACCACAGCTGTGATACAAGGATATCTGCAAGCAGGACCTGAAGGTCTTAGGAATGGACCTGAACAGATGGGAAACCTTGACATTTGAGCGTTCAGCCTGGAGGAAAGTAGTGCATCATGCCCTCTCCCAATTTGAAGAGGCACTTCTTCAGCAGGCCAAGGCAAAGAGGCAGTCCCGAAACCAGCAAAAACAGGGGACAGATTGTATTTGTCTTCAGTGTGGAAGGGATTGTCACTCTCGAATTGGCCTTCTCAGCCACAATAGACGCTGTTCCAAGACCTCTATTCAGAGCACGTTACCATAGTCTCTCGAGACTGAAGGATGCTGTAGTGTTCACCCTTTTTATGCTAAATAAGTCATGTATTATTCATGTTTTATGCTGATGTGGTGGAGAGGCGGAGCCAAGAGAGAGGTTAAAAGGTGGAGCCTGAGAGGAAGAGAATGAAGAGAGTCAAGAGTCAGGAGTGAGTCAGTGAGAGTTAGGCAGAGGCAGAGGCAGAGGCAGAGGCAGAAGAGATAGAGATTGTATTAGAGACTAGTTAAGATAAATGAATAGAAAAGGAGGTCATTAATTATATGACCAGAAGAAAGTATGTATAGAGAGACCTGTGAATGATTTGCTTGTGTACAATGAACAACTGAAGAACACCTGTGATTATTATTAACTTTGCTACACTTCAATAAATAAGTTCTGTTTGTATTTACCAGACAAGTGTTTGGACCAACGTTTTTAATATTGTGGATAGAGGTAATCCACTGGTGGCAGGGAGGGAAACAAAGACTGGAACCTTTGGGAGGGCACAAAAAGTAGGTGCCCCATAGAGGAGAATGTCACAGATGCCTACTACGACTGTCTCCTTGGGAGAATGTGTGGTTGTATTGCTGCTGTAAAAGCAACACAGGTGGAACTGCATGCAGATGAGTACCCAGCGTAACTCCAGCCACAGTTTTCAGAGCCTCTGCCCATATTGATCCTTAAAACCACCAATCTCACCATTCTTCTCCACTGCAGTTGCCAGTTCTTGAGACTGGATTTTTTTTTCTATAGAAGGGTGTGGTGTCCGCCCAGGTCATGAATATTAATAGACTGTCTGCATGAGAGCGCTGGAGAGGTGGAGTCACCAGATAAAAGAGTCTCTGCAGGAAGGGGAGGTAGATGGATTTGGGAATGGAGAGAGTTTGGGAATAGAGAGAGAGGGTTGGCGGTTGAGGGTTGGATGAAGTAGGATCTTTTGTTAAGAGTTCATCGACATCAACTGTACCTTCATCACCTGTAATAATAAACAACTTCTATTTGGTTCTTTTTAAAACGACACATTGCCTGGACCTCTATCATTAATAATAAACAATGTTGATGTAATCAACCGGTGGCAGCGACACGTGGCTCGTGCCCTTTGCTTGGTGAAACAACCAAGGGACAGGCGGGAACGTGACATAGGGCAATAGGCATGTTTGTACACAGGAGCAAAATGCGTTATATTGTTTCTGCTGTATCCCAGTTCCCTGAGTTCACAGAGCTGCAGTACAGGTGTAACTTTTTTTTTGAATACCGTACCTCATTATTGAAAACTCAAGTAGTGCTTGAGTCCGCATCTTTAGGAGACAGTATGCAGGAGCTTCAGCAGTCTATAATTCCTAGGCTTCTCAGGATGGGATGGAAGCCATGACACTGAATTTGCCATCAAACTGATACAGTGGACCCTCTACTTACGGAATTAATCCATATTGGAATGGTGGCTGCAGGTCGAAAAGTCTGTAGGTCGAGGCTACATTGACCTACAATCCACTGAAAACCAATTAATCTGTCACTGGCCATTTTTGTTCCATTTTGTTTTTTTTCCCGGTCTGTAGGTCGATTCTCCGGCTGCAAGTCGAACCTAAATTTTGCGACCAGAGAAGTCTGTAACTCAAAAAGTCTGTAAGTGGAGCCGTCTGTAAGCCAAGGGTCCACTGTACAGACTTGCAGCATAAAGACATGGCCTAGGTCTGGAACTAGGAGGCGTGTCTGGTGCTCATGTCTGATAATGATCCTTCAGTGCACTGAGCTTGGACTTTAACAGCATAGTTGCTGTAACTCAGCCTACCTACATCTTACTAACAAATGTTATATCAGTAATGGACATGGTGTGTATTTAGAACTCAGCAGCAGCTGGGCCCTTCCTCCAGTAAGCTTTCTATCCAAGGGTCAAGCAGCCCATGGCAGGTGGCACAAAATTAAAAGAGAAGATTCTGTAAGTGCTGAAAGACCTCTGATCACCATAACATGAGCTTTTCATATTCCCTGTATTCCTGGGTGGACACCACACCCTACTATAGAAAAAATCGAGTCTCAAAGCAAATTACGGTAGTTTGCTTTGGTTTTGTGACTTAACATTGGAAGATAAACCCAGGCTTCACTTGCAAGTATGTTTGCTGAGACATGAAGGTCCGCCCATCTGCATCCCACCCTTAGGGCATGAGCGTGATTTCTGCTTCTAATGACATGCTATTTGGGATGCATAATTTGACCCCAAATGACATATATGTCAGGAAAAGTATGGCAGAGGAGAGCATTTTTTAAAAATAGAGCATTTTGGAAGAAGGCATGACTGACAACTGGGTGAAATCCTGAACAGGAGCACTCTACATTGCATCATTTTTTTGCAGGTGGGTGTCATGCTTCTGATACTGATGACAACTATTGTTACTACTAGTAGTTGTACTATATGCATATTTTAAAGGAAAGGCTAGATAGCCAATAGATTCACTGCTACTCTGCTTTTCAGTGCTACCATGCAAAATTTCAGAGTGGAGGCGGGGAGAGTACCTATGTTAGCTAAATTCATCTTGTACATTCTCAAATGGAGCAGCCATAGAAGGTAAAACAAACTATGAAAACTACTTAGCTGAAAACTGAAGAACCCAGAGATCTCTTAATGCCCAAAGAACCCATTAATTTTCTCTTGGTTGGATCCTACCCAACTGTATGCAAGGGTCTTTTCCCTTTACATTTCTAATCACCAGTATCATCTTGGATCCTTCTTTGGGTGTGCAGGAGGGAGGGAATTCTTCTCCTCTTCACCTGCAACCCCCTCATTCATGCCATATCCCAGGCCATTCCTCAGGGCTCATGTGTGTCAGTGCAAGGGTGTTTTCAGTTGTGTTGAGCTTGTGGAACAATGGCACACCCACGGCCCAGGCACAGGGGGGGAAATACTGGCTGGGTGCAGCTGGTGGGTGCAAGCACATGGGCCCATCATGCCATTTGGAGTCAAGGGAAGGAACAGAGTGCCAGCATCGCAACTCATGAGCCTTCTTCCTGTACAAGCAGAAAACAAGGCTTGGAAAGAAATTTCCTGCAGTTGGCAGTGAGATTTCTGCAAGTCCCAACATTAATATAGAGTCCAGATGACAAGTCCCCATGTGTTTGTGTGCTGTAGATAAGGCAAGGTGTGGGTGAGCCCTGGCTAGAACGGTGGCAAACAACATAGCTGCTGAACAGATTTTGGTGCCTGACTGACTTGACAGTGAAAAAATAGATCCTTCCTCCTGTGCTGAGTTGCCGTATTACCTTAGTGGGGTTTTATTAGACTCCTGGCTCAATTACCCAGGTTCCTCTCATGCCTGTTTCCATAACCAGTTGGCTTAGAAGCAGCTCTGCTCCCCAGACCCTTGTCTGCCCCAATCCTCCCCTTATCGTAGCTTCTTTTGCTAAACGGTGGCCAGAGATGGCTCTTTCTTATGATGGTACAGCAGGCAGAAGAGAAAGCAGAGGCCTCATTTCTGCATGCAGAGGGGGGGGGCAATTGGGTGTGGCCACAGCTATGCCATTCAATGACTTCTGCTCTGGCAGAGTCCAGGTTCCTTTGTTCCAGTCCATCAGCATTCCTTCAAGATGCATTTTGTCCAGAATGATCTTAACAGCCACAACTTGGCTCCGTTTCCCTGCTGGCCTGGCCTGGCCTGGCGTGATTCTGATGGTTCTTTAGGTGGGAAGATAAATCCCAGGTGACCAGGGCTTCAAGAAACAGTGCAATTATCCTTTTGAACAGAGCAATGGATTTGGGGCTGCAGGACAGATGGAGGCAAAGGGGGCCAAAGGAGGATCAAAGATTTACGCTAATAGAAATGGCCAGCTAATTGCTAAGGAGCTTAGAGGCTGAATCAAGGAGGAGGAGGAGGAGGAGGAGGCATTCAGTGCTGAGGTGACCTACCACACGGAATCAGAGCACCCTGTAACTTCACCCAGGTGTAAAAAAGGAATAAATCACCCCCTAGGGGAAGCAGCAATGGGAGGTGGCAGATGGGGTTGCCAGACAAGTTTTCCTCCTTGAAGCTCAGGATGAGAAGTTGCTGGAGATCTACTGAACGTGAGGAAAAGGGAGAGGTGGATGCCGCAAAGGCAAAGGGGACTTATAGATGCACTTCAGAGTACCACTCACATGGAAGACATGTTAGCACTGGAAGAAGAAGGCCTGATCAAAAGGCCATTGTGTGGTCTGTCAAATTGCCCTTCTTTGTGGCTTATATAGTAGCCCCACTATTGGTTACAGGAGGCTGGCAGCTCATTGAAAGCTTTGTAATCCTAGCTGTGCTAATTAAACAAGACTGTGGCCGGCTGCCTAAGCATGTGCAGCTAATTGCTAAGGAGCTTAGAGGCTGAATCAAGGAGGAGGAGGAGGAGGAGGAGGAGGAAGAGAAGGAGGAAGAGGTCACTGTGAGCCCTGGGGGAGAGGCAGCAGTGCTGCCAGCAGGGGGGAAGAGACAGCCAAACGAGATTGGCTTTATGGGTTGCAGCAGCAGCAGCAGATTAAATGAAGGAAGAGCTGGTGCTGCTACTGAGATACTGGGAACTGGGGCACTTGCACGTCACAGTGGCTTTGAATGAGGTGTAGGGTTCCTTTGCATTAATCCAGCTCACTCAGTTTGTGAGGTTGGGTATATGAACGTGCACATTTTTGTACCATAGGACAGACTGGGAAAACTGAGCCTTTTCAACCCGGTCCATAGGGTTCTTTGCTCTCTAGACAGAAGATGCCAACAAATGGGATCCACCAGGTTTTGAAGATCCAGTTTGGCCTAATCAACTCGGATAACCGCTATCTGACAGCAGAAAGCTTTGGCTACAAGGTGAATGCTTCAGCGCCCAGCCTGAAAAGGAAGCAGATATGGACCCTGGAACAGGATGGAGACAGCTCTGTAGTCTTCTTGAAGAGTCATTTAGGTAGGTACTTATCTGCAGACAAAGATGGCAAAGTTTCATGTGAAGCTGAAAAGCCAGGAGGTGATGGGCGTTTTGTCATTGTCACTCAATCGGATGGGCGTTGGGCGCTCCAGTCGGAACCGTACAAGCGTTTCTTTGGTGGTTCTGAAGACCGGTTGTCCTGTTTTGCCCAAACCATCACAGAAGCGGAGCTCTGGGCTGTGCACTTGGCCATCCACCCCCAAGCCAACCTCTTGAGCGTGAGCAGAAGAAGGTATGCCCACCTCAGTGCCCAAGAGGATGAGATCTCCACTGACAGCAACATCCCCTGGGGGGTGGACTCACTCATCACGCTCACCTTCCAGAACAAGAAATATTGCCTGCGAACCTGTGACAACCGCTACCTGCGCAATGATGGCACCCTGGTCAAGGAACCTGATTCCCGTGCAGGCTATACTCTGGAATTCAAGGCAGGGAAGCTAGCCTTCAAGGATTGTGACGGCAAATATTTAGCACCCATGGGACCTACCGGCACTCTAAAATCTGGCAGGAGCTCCAAACCGGGCAAAGATGAACTCTTTGATCTGGAAGAGAGCCACCCACAAGTGGTCTTCCTGGCCTCCAATGGCAGATATGTTTCCATACGGCAAGGTAAACCCATATGTCTGTTTTGCTTTATGGGAGAAGAGAGACTGGGAGAAGAGAGACTATGATAATTATTATTATTATTATCAGCTGATTATTATTATTATTATTATTGTTATTATCAGCCTGTTGTCATTGTTGTTAATGATATTGTTTTGCATTTGGTATTTCGGAGGCTGTGTGCAGCCAGCCATCTTGTTACCCATACTGTATGTATGTACAGAGATGGTCAGGGAGGGATGGGCATAACTTATGTCATAAGCTCTTCATTTATACTTGTTCATCGGTCCCTCAGTTTAATATATAGGCAGACATCTCTTCCTAGCAAAGGGATCTGAGAACAAGAGATACTGTGGTTATGAGATGGGTGAGGGTCTGAGAGCAAAGAGCAGGTGCCATGGTGAGACTGTTCTCTGTCTGACTATAATGGGGTGAGAGGGTTCATAGTTTTATTTGGCCTTTACAGCTGTATGTCAGACGGGAGGTCCCTCTGTTGCACTTGACAGTCAGCTTTAAGGCTGTGATCGGCCACAGATTATCATCAGCAGTCATCCTCTCAATTTAAGACACAAGAAAATTACCTGCTATTCCAAGCATCTTGAACAGAGGAGTAAACAGAACCCAGTCTCCTGTGATTGTACTAAGTACTTGCACAACAGCTCCATAGATATGCCAGTGAATCTGGTGGTTCTTTGAGAAAGTGCATCAGCCAGCCTCTGTTTCTGCCTTACACACAAAGATGTCTTATATTAACCAGTATCTCACTGCTAGTCCCAGCTAGAGTAAACCCACTGACTTAGTGGGATTTACATAAGTGTTGACTCTAATATTTGATTTAATGGGTCTTCCTACTCCATTTAAGATTAGCAACAGGATACTAGGCAGTAGGTCAGACTGCTGGTTCATCTAGCCTGGTATTTTCTACCGTGGCTGGCAGTAGCTGTCTGAGTTTTCAGTCAAGAGTCTTTTCTTGTTGCACGTGGAGGAGAGCTCTGGTGGTCTCCCATCCAAGTACTAACCAGGCGTAATCTTCCTTAGCTTCCAAATCAGATGAATTTGCTGCATTCAAGGTGACAAGGGAGGGGTGCATACAACAGAATGGCCCATGAGGAAGGCAAACCAATAAACCCCAGACACCATCCCTATGATGTAAAGTTCTTTCCAGTGGAAGCCCTAATAAAATGAGTGAGAGTCCTATGAGTATTCTCTGTTGCCCACTGGTGTCAGTGTAATGTGAATGGATAATGCACCATTATAGTTAACTTCTTTAAGGCAATGCCACTTGTATCATAACTTCCAGGCCACTGCTGCCAAACTCAAAACAAAACCAATTAGATGGCCTTCCACTTCATAGACAGTATAACTTCATATCTCTCACTTTTTCCAAGCTGCCATCAGGAGTTCCAATGGCGTCTATCTATGCATAAAATGACACATCTGTTGCCCCTTTTGCCACACTACAAAGCAACTGTGTATGCTTGTTCTATTCTCCATGCCTAATCAAATCCTTTCCCTTCCCAGTATTCCTTTTTAAATTCATTAAGGAGAAGGTACCTAGTATAGGTAGTGTACTGCATCTGAGTACGATTATTGCCAGCACATTGGGAAGTGTCAGCCATCTTAGTTTCATCCTGTTCACTTGCTACTAGGATACAGGGCTCTGGCAACCTGTTCAGAGATGATCTGCTCAGCCACAGAAAAGGGGCTGATGACATTTATTGGTTCTACAGCAATAGCTGCCTGTTTTCTTGCAACTCGCCCCACAATCATGTCAAGGTTAGAGTTTCCGAGTATCTTAGAGGACTCTGCATTATTAGCTAGGGGGTGGGGGAGGCAGAGATACAGGAGAGAAAGCAAACCACTTGTACCCTACTGCTTGCCTATATTGCTCAAGACTTGGCCCTTACACAGCTTACTCAACTGGAGCACGTTATCAGCTGTTCCCAAAGAAAAGAACAGTGCCTACCCACATGGGTGAAAATGTGGAAATTATCTATAGATGTCATCAGAGTATAGCTTTATTACGGAAAATACTCGCAATGCATGTGGAACTTCACAATGACTTTACAGGGGTATTTTCCTTCTGTAACTCTTTCCAGAGAAAAAAGGTAGCTCTCTCTCCTGATCTTTTCTAGTTGTCCAGATTAGGGAAATATCAAGGAACTGCTGGATAACTCAATTGTTTAGGTATCTGGTTGTGAAGCCAGAGGTTGGGAGTTCAATTCCCCATTGTGCCTCCTTGACAGGGGCTGGACTTCCAGCTTTGCAGTTCTAAGATGTTGTAAAATTTTATGAAAACGTGTGACTGAATCTATTCCTCCTGGAATCTCACTCTGGTCATGAGAGATTCCCCAAAGCGCCATGTCCCCTTTCCTATGGTACCACTGTTTGGTGATTTTCTAGATTGTATATATATATATTCAGCATTAGGCTAAAAGGTAGGGGAGGTATTGTTCTGTCTTTGCTTTTTTCTTTGGCCTTGCCAGCCATTAGAATGTGGGCCACAAACATTTCTCCAAAACTGAATTTGGCTGTCAGGCTGAAAGAGTTTCTCCATCTTTGTCCTAAGCAAAAACTAGCTGCACCCTTCCATTTCTGTATCCTGGGATTTGGGGGGGGGTGTCACCTTTTGGTTATTAAGTCAATAACCAAGAGTTTAAAAGTTTCCGTCTTTTAACAGCACACACCTGTATATGTCTACCCAGACTTAAAGTTCCATTAACTTCCATGTGACTTACTTTCAGGTACCCGAGTATAGGATTGCAGCCTCAGAAAACTTAACTCTTTCGGGGCACCCATAGGTTCACTAAAGAATCATGTTCGTAATCCATGTGCCTCACAGCAGTATGGCCCAATTATTAAAGAGACCCCAGGCTGCCCCCCATTTCAAGGCAGGGGAGCTGCTTTTATGCTCGCCCTTCCACTGTGCCTTTAATAGGGCTCTCGACACAGAAATGTAAGTTGTGCCAAATTTTCTCCATCAGTTTATTTCCGTGTCAGGAAAAACTCTCCTTGCTTCATGTGCCAGGCGGCAATTAAAAATGCAGGCACCAAGCCAATAAAAAACCAACAACAGCAGACAAGCAGATAGACAGGAAAAATCTGGCACACTGAATCCAAAAGAAATTTATCTAGAGTAATTACCTTTTCCAGGCAATAGACATCCAGACGACAGTTGTCTTTCCTTTTAATCCTTCCTGCTTTCTCACCAATTCTTTTGTCCTTATGAGATAGAAAAATCTGTGCAAAAGATAGGATATTTACATAGTGTTTTTCATTTGACAGTGCTAGGAGTCTCTGCCTAGAAACAGCCTATGTGCTTTATTTCAAATTTGGAAATTGCTTTTTAAAAATTAATTAATTACTGAGTTCCATGGTCCAAAAAGTAATTATTTATAATTAGCATTGCCATTTTAAAAATAGCTGTGTCCCATTTCTTTAAAGTAACCTGAACAGATTTTTTTATCTACTTGAAAAAAACACAAGAAGGTACTAAAGAGCAGTACAAGCCAACATTTGATTTGTGTAATAATATTCTTTCACCATACCCCCATAACTATACCAGTAACAAAGGCTTAGCATCACACAGCAGTGGGGATGATGTTCTTATTAAATTACAGTTGCAACGTCATGAATAACCTTTGTTATTGGGGTAAGAATTAATTGTAAGTTGCTAGTTATTTATAAGTAATTGCTTCCAGATTCTTCGTTTCTGATGTCTTCATGGCATACCAGCATGCCTATATAACATTGCCTAAGTTCCAACATTGTTTAGAATCACAACACAAACCGAAGTATAAATACCTATCAAAAGAATGGGAAAGGTGGTGGGTGGGACATCAATGTTAGCCATTATTTAATTTAACCCATCAGTTGCTTAGACTAACAGGAACTGACAAATGTGGGTAACTCATCCACTGTATCTCTGCTTGCAGTGACCTATTGGGCTTGTCTCTGTATTACATTTTCATCACTGGCCAGTTGTATCAATGGAGTGCATTTTGACTGTTAAAAAGTAAAACTAAAACAAATTATTAATCCCGAATAGACTAGACCCACTGCACAAATGGGACTTATGCAAATCAACATTGATGGAACTACCATTGATTCAACAGATCTACACTAGACGAGACTGACAACTTATTTTACTTCATTATTTTTGCACATTCTATTCTGATTGCTTTTCCCTGAAGCTGGAATATGAATGGGACCGATTAGAGGAGATCTAAGAAGACTAATGCATTTATAGATCTACATAGAGAAGGAACTGAGGAATAAACATATACAGCACAAATGCCCCACCATTTCATTGCTAGCGCCTGAGCCTAATCTATGCTCAGAAACCTACTCAAGCCTTTGATGTTTTCATTTGTGAGGCCATGAAGGTTGTGAAGACTAGCTCCTTTCTTTGGAAAGCAAAAGAAAAACAAAGAGTAACCCACAGGTTTCTGAATATGGGCCTGCACTGGAAATGTAGATGCTAGCAGTCTGGCAGATGTCTTGGTGATTGTTTCCTTCAAAGCATACATGTCTTATCAGCATATGCCTACCCATGGGAGTTTGAAAACAAGATAAGCAGACAAAACACAGGTATCTTCATATGCTTAGTAGTCATCAGCTCTAGCACAAGAACATTGTTTTTATTTTTTTAAAAAAAGCTCCAGCCTCTATATTAGCAGCTAATAAACTGTTCTGAAATTTGGTTGTGGGTTTTTCGGGCTCTTTGGCCATGTTCTGAAGGTTGTTCTTCCTAACGTTTCACCAGTCTCTGTGGCCGGCAATTTCAGAGGACAGGTTCTGAAATTTGCTTGTATCTAAACAGATTGAAATATGCCAATGTCAAGCAGTCAGATGTTTCTGCACCCCCATGATATCCTTGCTCTTGGCAATCTCAGTGGGAAAGTTTGCTCAGGGGAATTTGTGATGCAGCAAATTGTCCCAATACGGTTGTTCCTCTACATCTCCTAATCCAGTGGTTCTCTGGTCATTTGGGACTATAAATCCAC